GGAGGTCATGTCAGAGGCAAGGCACTAGCATTGAAAAGGAAGAAAAAGGGGTTTATTGTAGAAGGTGGGGTTTTAATTGAGACCTGAAGAAATCCAGGGAACCCAGGAAGTGATGAAGGAAAATGTTCCAGGTATGTGTTCCAGTGAAAACACACATAGTTGGAAGATGCAGTGCCATGCGTGAGGAATATAAAGGAGGCCAGTGTCTCTGTGATATAGAGTATGCATAGGGAATAAAGTGTAGGAAGATTTGGAAGGTGGGGAGGGGCTAGGTTATGAAGGGCTTTAAAAACCAAAGTATTTCTATTTGATTCTGGAGGTAACAGAGAACTACTGGGGTTTATTGAATGGAGAAGAAGAGGGTAACAGGATCAGAACAGCACTTTAAGAAAATTACTTTGATATCTGGGCAGAGGATGACCTGGCATAGTGATAGACGAGGCAAGGAGAGACTATTGCAATAATCCAAACAAGAGATGATGAGGGTCTGTACTTAACTAGCCCTTTCTTTTATGTCCACAATCACTATGCTGTCAGGGTAAAACCCAAAAAGAAAAAGGCGGTCCCTTCTCCACTCTCCATGGGACAAGGAAGAGAGAAACATAGTCTTTAGTCACTCATTTCAAAGATTTACTGACCAGACCACTCCTCCTAGCTTTGTGACTGATCACTTCTGCTGTAGCTTTGATAGAGTCTCCCTCTTTTGCTCCACTCCATGCCATCAAGGGATGGGAGACCAAGAGACTGCCCAGAGTTTGTTGTGTCAAACTAAAGCTACAAGTCATTCAGAAGTCAGTATGTTTCCCCAGAAGTGGCCAGGGTGAAAGTTCAGCCCTTTATGAGGCTGGTAGATGGTAAGCACTGGCCCCTGAGCCAAAGAGGCCTAAATTCAAATCTGTCCTCAGATGCTTACTATCTGTGTGATCCTGGGCAAGTCACTTAACCTCTATGTTCCTCAGTTTCCCCTCATCTGTAAAGTGGGGATAATGAGCCCCTACCTCACAAGATTATTTTTAAATGTTTATAAAGTGTTTCTCAGACTTTAAGGGCTAATTCTCCTCCTCCTTCTCCCTCACAATCCAGCTTTCAGTCTCATCATGCAACTGAAACTGTCTATGAGATTATCAGTGACTAATTAATTCCCAAATCCAATGGATTTCTCCTAGTCTTTATCTTTCTTGACCTGTCAGCAATATTTCACATTGTTTACTACTCCTTCCCCATGGGTAATCTTTCCTCCCTGGGGTTTTAAGGACAATACACCCTCCTGTTTCTTCTACTACCTGTCTGACCACTCCCAAGTGGTTTTATTTTTAATGAATAATGCCCAACGGGTAGACCCTCTTTTTTCTCTAAACCCTCTCACCTGAGATAAGTTAATCTCATCAGCTCATGTGGGTTCAGCTATCACCTCTATAAAGATGATTCCATCTACAAACATATGCACAAAGTTCTTCTCTGAAATCTAGCCGTATATCATAACTATTAAACATTTCCAACTAGTTGTCTCATAAGCAGCTAAACTCAGCATATCTATAACAGAACTTATTATCTCCTGTCAAACATACAAACTCTCCCTTCTTCCAATGTTTCTATTTCTGTTTCAGGGACTCAGGTTCCAGGCTTACAACTGGGAAGTTAGCTTCGATTCTTCCCTCTCTTTCACTCTTCACATAGTCTGTATTAAGGAAAATAGGCAATAGCTTTATTGTTCCCAGTGCCCTGCAGTACAGAAAGGCTCAGGAGCTGTATGTGCTTGTCATAAACCTAGAGCTAATTACTTAGAGGATAGAAAGAATGGCTCAAAACTGATTGTCTTGCTGATGAGATGAATTATAACATATTTTGAGATGTACTGTGCCTATTAAGTTTCTCAGGCATACAAATCTTGTGAAGTTGTTAGTGGGTCTACTCATACTTTGACATCCACAAAGGTGTTGGACAACATAAAGATGCCAACCAAACTCAATGATAAAGTCTCCTTTATCAAGGATGAATAAGTTTTTATGTCTGAGGAATAGTAGATATACCATCAACTAAAATGTACTAAGGAAACATTGCTGTCATATAATTCAAATGATATAAATATGTGTATTTGATAACTTCCCAAGACTGTTTCGTAGGGGCTTTTAAGAATAATTTAAGTATTGCTGCTGTTTAGTTACAGAGATCAGGTAAGGTGTAAAAACACTTCCTAAAATGGAAATTTTTTCATCCTTGAAATAATATTGGACTTGATAGCGAATTTTCACAATCACCTGTATTATGGCAATGACTTGGTAAGAGTAATCTACGCCGAAACTTAGTCTTTGGAGGGAAAAGGATAAGATTTTAAAATGCCCAGATAATAGAGGCTGGAGAAGTTATGTGTGGTAATATGATTTCCTGTGAATACAATTTTCTCTTTTGACTAAAATAAAATAAAATTTTGTAATTAAGTAAATCACTGAACTCAATTTGTAGAAAGAAGCTTCAGGTTTTTTTTAAAATTGAGAATATTTTTATTATTATAGCATTATCATATACACAACAGAATTATATTGGAAACATTTACAAATAGGTGGTTTCTAAGACCTCCATTACTTGCACAAAGACTTAGAACCCTCCCTCATTTTTTTAAGGAGCAAGTCATCTAGGAGAGGTTATAACTATTGCCTTGTGAACAGAGCTTTGATTAAATAACTTCAGTGGCAAGAATAGAGAATTGGAATTTGCTCTCTGAAAGTCAAAACATTTTAAATATCCTGCATAGCATATGTACTTTTTGTGCTTAAACCTAAAAAATGTGTTTCTACCCCCTTCCCCTTCTAAAAGTCACCAAAATTAAATTTGAACTCTATTTAAAAAATTAAGTTCATGGGGCAGCTAGGTGGCACAGTGGATAGAGCACCAACCCTGGAGTCAGGAGGAACTGTTTTCAAATCAAGCCTCAGACACAACACTTACTAGCTGGGCAAGTCACTTAACCCCACTGCCTAGCCAAAAAAAAAAAGTTCACTAGTATTTACACCTTATTAAATTACACATAAACATGTATATTCAATATACTCTCTTAATACACTGAGTACTTTCTTGGTAGTGTGTTGGTTTTGGTTTTTGGTTTTGGGTTTTTTTTGCCTTGATAAGAAAAAAAAGAACAAGAAAAGAAAGAAAAGGAAAAGAAAAAATTTAGTAAAATGTTATGTGCCTAGTATTTTCAAGGGGCTTTTTTTTTTGGTTTTTAAAATAGACCTGATATAAATATACAAATAAAGCTGATATATCTTGAGAGAAAAATGTTTTTCAAGACATTTCAGTTTTTAGCACTAATTTTAGCATAGTTTCAAGACATTTCAATTTTTAGCACTAATTCAAAATTCCTTACAATACAAAAAACACCTACAGCACAGATTTTTGCTAAAGTGTTGTAAAAACCTGAATTATCTCCTTTGGAAGTTAAATATCACGCGGTAACGAGATCAAATAGAATTTTTTTTTCTTTCACAGGATAAAAGACTTGTGACCCGGAAAGCTAGGTAACATTTTACATAAACACTGCATGGATATAGATATAAACACCATAGTCTAACACTCCAAAAATGGTTATTACTGGAACGGAAAATCCATGAAAATCTGACTTAAATAGGAATAATTCTTAATAAATAGTATCCAAAAATACTCTACATTCTATGCTATTAGCACTGGGAATTTTAGAAGTTCAAAAAGCTTTTTTTAGCACCACTTTTTGAACAAGGGAGAAGGGGAAAAGGGATAAAAGATTTAAGAGGCAATACCGAACAAGTACCCAAGTGTATAGTCTTGTAAACACTTGTCCACTAAATGTGGAGATATTGCAGCTTTAGAAACACAAGACTCCAGAATGGGAGGATGTGTAAATCATGAAGATCCTGAATAAGATGACGTTTAATAAATTAACAACTTTTTCTACATTGTCCACTAGGCAAGAAAATGATACCATAGTCTGTACTAAGGAGAATTATTTTTCCCCTTAAAAATGAATTTTCATATTTTATTATTTTTAATGAAAAGTAAATAAAAATGTCAACTTTTTCCTCCCCTACATAAGACAGCCATTAACTGTTTTTCCTCTCCCTGACCTAATTTGGGAGAAAGGGAATTGGCACAGAATTACCAGGTATGCCTGCCATATGTATTTATGACTATCTCTATGTGTATGTATAAACATATGTACATATGTACTTATATACATTATCTATCTGTCTGTCTATCTATCTATCTATCTATCTATCTATCTATCTATCTATCTATCTATCTATGACAGTTCCAACTCCACTGAAAATATACATTTCCAGTATGTAGGGTCTAAGGTGAATCAGAAGATTTGGAACAGTAGGAGCCAACAGTCCCAAGCACCCTTTTCCCTTAAGGCCCACCAATACACAGCATATTGTATTTAGGGAAGAAGCACCAAAAGTGGATTCAGAGAGAGAAGAAAGTGACTTAGTCCAGGAAGTCTGAGAAGAAGCTGCTTTGGGGGCCCTTGGCCTCCTCAGACATTAGCTTTTTTTTTTTTTTGCTCGACATAATCTGCACTATAGCTAACCCCAACTAGTAATGGAGGCTTTTGTCTTGTGCAAAACAGAAAAATGTTTTATATCTTTTCAACAAAGGAAAACAAAGAAAACACCATTTAAATACCCACATTTCATGATGCGAAAAAAGCTAAAACAGTGGCAAATTAAATCGAACAGCTGCAGACAGCTACTAGGTGGTAGAAGTGGGTGGCATGTGACAAATTTGTTCAATCTTTTTATTCTTCCTCAACATTTCTGTGTCTGTCCCCATTTCATATGGCCACCACCTTGGCGCCTTGTCACTTCTTGCCTGGACTAGTGTAATGGCCTCCTAATTATATGTTAGGACAAAGGGTTACAGATGAAATAGGTTTGTTAATGAGTCACACTATAAACTGTAAGTCACGACAAACATCTGAATTCATTAACTGAATTGAATGAAAGAAATTATTATTGTATGCAAAATATATAGAAATGAATAACATAGTTCCAGCTCTTGAAGAATTGATAATCATTTGGGGGGGTATGAAGAGGCTGGAAGGAAAAAAAAATACAATTGGATACATAACCATAATATAAAACAGAATATAATTAACGGTCATAAAGGAAGTACAAACAGATTGTTATGAGTTTTGAAAGAACAACAAATAAGGGAAGGAAATTCAGGAAAGCCTTCTTGAATGAAAGGAGGTGGTAGCTGAACTGAGCTTTAAAGGCTAGATGGGATTTTAACAGGCAGAAATCAGCTATGATGAACAGGAACAAAGATAGAAAGAGGGAAAAAACAGGACAGGTTTGAGGAATGCCACATGGGCACATTTGGGTAAAGTACAGGATATATAAAAGGGAATAAGTAGTATAAAACAAGTTTGGAAAAGCAGAATAGGGTTAGAATAGGAAGGCCTACATTAGGAGTCATCTTAAGTCTGAACTTTTTTGTTTGTTTTGTTTTTGAGAATAACAACTTTTGCTGCTGCTATAAAAAATATTTCCCCCTCTCAATTAATTCTAAATTAACAAATTTGTCAAGAATTAAAAATAAAAGAAAGTTTACTTTTCTTTTCCAGTTTGTATAATGAATGAAGAATAAGCTATATTATGTAATATTGAAAGGCAGCCAGGAAAATCTTGGTATTTTAACTGCCTAACATTATCAGTTGCAAAGAGTGTGCCAAACTATTGATTGAGGGAATTTCCTTATCTAAGAGTTCTCTATAGCAATTAAATCATGTTTAATTTCTACACATTTCCAATATTTTAAATCTTCATGATGTTTAAAACTCCATGTTCAAAAATTCCACACTGTTCACAAGTATAATTAAAACTTTTTAATAATAATAATAACAATAACCCAACATTAGTAGCTAGCATTTATGTAGTGCTTTAATATTTACTAAGTGTTTTACAGAGCTTAATGAATTCATTTGTCACAACAACCTGAAAGGTAGGTGCTATTCCTTTTACAATTGAGGACACTGAGGTACAGAGAACTTAAGTGACTTACCCACATGTCACATATCTAGTGTCTGAATCAGAATTTTAATTCAGATCTTCCTTGCTATAAGCATTGAGATCTATCCTCTGTATAACCTAGCCATCAGCAAATTATTTGTAGCTTTTTAAATATATAACTTTTAGTATAAATATAAATGTATATATTTCAAGTTTTAGGAAAATAATTGTCTTAGTACAATATGGTGAAAGAAATCCTTAAATATTAATGATTAGCCTATAGATCTGGAGAGGTTAATCTCAATGATTTCATACAAATCTATTTCAATTAACTTTGGTAAATTTAAAAAAAATTCTTTGTTCAGGTCTCTGGCATAGCTACAGAATTAATCTGATAAAAGATACAACTTTGAAAGTTACATAATAAATGTAATTTATTGTAAATTATTGTTATTATCATTATTAATCATTATAACTTATTTGAAATTACTTGATAATTTATTTCATGTTCCTAATGGCATAATCTCTTGTCCCAAAATAAATAGGTGCCAATTTATCTTGAAATAATAATTCAATAATGATCTGAGTTGCAAAAAAAAATTATTTAGAGAGATATCAAACTTGAATAGACTGAAAAAAGATTAAGCTTACTTAATAGGGATTTGGGTTATCAAGACTAAAATCAATCCTAGCAAATTAGTTGATATGTTATATTGATACATTATAATATAAAGCTAATTTGCATATTATTTAGTAATAAAAAGATGTATATAAACCTGAGGACACATAGACTTATTCCCATAAGCCAAGAGAGCCAATAAGCAGTTTTGGGACTATCAGCTTTTCATTAGAATCTCATATGCCTCATAGATCCATAACAAAAAGGTTGAATCAGAGTATAATGACTATGAAAGATATAAGTAAGAAGAAGAAAACCTATTTATTAAGAAAAATGCATTTTTATGCTTTCTTTAGCTTTATGAATGAAAAATGTCTCTGTCCTCACAAGTATGATTTGTTGATGACAAGGAGAACTAGATAGAGAACATGGACTGATTAATACATGGTGCTTTATGCACAGAAGATATTCCATAAATATTTTCTTGATTGATTGGCTTAGTAAAAATCCATTGCCATGAACAAAGTATGTTTTTTAGCTGAGGCTGTGGTAACTCCTAACAATCGATGACAAACATATTGCTATTTCATTTGCAAGTTTTCCTCATTGAAAGCATGGAATTAAATACCAATATCTAATTGGTCATATAATACACTTAAAAATGAGTCACAAATCATAATTATTCTAACTGTGCAAAAATGCAATTTTCTTTCAAGTGTAATATAGATTAATATTTAATTTAAATACAATATTAATTTCTTTTTCTCTTCTTATACCTTCTATATTTTTTATTACATTCTCTTACTTTTCCTATGTCATCTTCTGTACTACTGTCACTAGTTTCTGGCTGCCATTTTCTTTTACTCACTGGGCAAAAGTTCCAGTCACTTGGCTGGTGAACAAATTCAAAAGAAGTTGATCTAGCATCCAAATCTGAAAGAGGGTTTGGCATGGATAATACAGAAAAGCTTGAGGCTAGTGGTGGTGTCATCTGGCATTTTGAAGGTTGTACCATCAGATTATACATAGGATATTGCTATGATTAAAAAAAGATATATGTATAAGAACAAGACAATAAATATAACAATCTATATATACTAGATTCATAAGCACTTATTAAACCAAAGTGTTTATTGGTAAACAAGGCATAGTGGCTATGAATAATAGGGAAGTTTCCAAAATAGACATAAAAGGGAATCAAAATACATGACATAACATTATAATATGGATAGTTGAGGTAGGGAGAAATCACCTTAGTTATTCATTTTAAATTAAGCTCGTTTTACAGATAAGAGATGTAAGGTTCCACTCAGCTATAAGGATCAGACCTTTAGAGTAGAGAAAAAACAAAGTGGATGAAAAACATCTACCAGTCAACCTATGATGTACAGCTGAACAGGTTCTCTCAATATATTTATCTTGGCTAGCAGCTGCAGGACAATAAGAGGAGAATATCACCCTGAATAGCATTTGAATAAATGAAAGCTTTTAATAACACCTAACTACTTATTGTTACAAACATCCTTTTATTTAATACCAATACTGTCCTTTTAATGCAATGTGACTGCAAACCATATAATGCCACAATTTAGAATTTAAAATTCCAAATGGCAATTTGGAAGAGACCCATGTTTATATTAAGTAAGCTGAAAAATGTTGCCAAGGATCACTCATACTTAGGAGACGTAGTAGAAGCAGAAGTAGCGTCAAACTCAAGTAGAAAGGAGGGTTAATCCGTGCATAAGTATCCTTTCAGACCACAAACTGACTTAGTTTTAAAATGTTGTAATTATCTATGTTGTATTGTATTTTTATTCATTTTGTTAATTATTTTGCATTTCAATTTTAATCTGGTTCAGCCTCACTTGGGAGGCCCACAGGCTATGTTTGACACCTCTGGTGCAGTGGATAGAGAGCAAGCCTCAAAACGAATATCTTGGTGTAAGTTCTGCCTCTCAAACATAGTGGCTATGTGACCCTGGACAACTAACTTAATCTATCAGTGTTCCAGATAAATCTTTAAAATTATAAGTTTCAGAGAAGGTGCCAATTTGTACTGGTAAAAGGAAGTTACCTCAACCAGGAGTTCCTTACGCTAATGAAATCATGGTACCCCTACATTAAATTATACTTCAGAAATAGTGCATATCAAAATAGAGGAAAGATACATGTGACCAGGAAAGGAAAGACAATAATCATCTATGAGCAGGCCAAGTAATAGTCAAGATATTCAAAGACTGAGTAGTAGTCCTCTAGCAGTGTAGGTAAATTTTCTAAGGACAATTCATGAGAAAATAGATAAGAACCCTGTGACAGGAATTGATTTGCATCCATAGAAGGAATACTCACACTAATGAAATCTCAAATACAAAAACAACCAATAAATCTAAAAGGTTGACCTTACAAGGTATACTTAAGCAATAACCTCTTTGTTACTAAGGGATGGTTCAGTGTGTGTAGGAGATGGGGAAGGATATATTTAGAAAACAATGTCATAAAATCGAAAGAATAAATATAAAAATAAGAGAAGATTTCAAAAGACAGAGAAAATATTTTAATCTATCCTTCCACTTAACTGTAATTTCTGTGTCTTGTTTCATTTGTAGTAACAATGTCAGGATGGATGTAGTACAATTCTTTCACTAGTATGCTCATTCACTAATTTAATGACCACAAGTTTGGACCACAAATAACTAAATTAAAGTTTACAGCATAGCTAAAAATAGTACTAATCTTTTACTTTTCTTTCCCCTTCTCTAATACTCTGCCCTATAATTGCATTAGAATAATATACAAAAAGCTTACACAACTTTTTATAATTGACAACCACAGAAAGCAAGTTATAATAGGTAAAATATAAAAAAAACATTCAGCTTATATTTTTAAGACTGCATATGCCCTACTGACCTTTACCTCTTTCTAACGACAAATTTTGATTATTAGAATTCCTCCTTGCCATCTGCTTGTTGAGATAACAGATATGTGGGGATTCAGTGTTAAGATAAAATAGTAGCATATCAACATACTATAAGAGACAAGATGAAAGTGACACACCAACTCCCTCAGAATACTTTCTAGCTTTAAAACATCTGGATTTACTCTCCAGTTTTTCTCTTCCTTCATATTTTAACTTGATATTACAAACTGCGCCAAATTCATGAAAACCAATACATAGAGAGTGGATTTGGGCATCAGGAAGACATGGGTTTCAAGTTCTGATTTTAACACATATTAGCTATATGATCATGGCCAGCCTAGTACTCTAGGTATTATCTAAGACTATAAGTTATAGAGGAATTGCTGTTGTGCATCAGGTGAAAGAAATTTTTACACTGGGATTTTCCCATCATGAAGAAACCACAAGTAAAAGCTGGTCCCTCTCCCTAACCACCACCACCACCAAAAACGACAAATTGAACTTACCATATTCTGAGAGCCAAATTCCTGAGTAAAGTTACCATCATTTGCTGTAAAGGTCTGTATGGGAAATGATCTCGACAAAAAGTCTTCATTTCTATTAAAAGAAGTATGAACACTGAAATCTAGAGATTTGTACATGAAACATAAATACACATATGCGAGGGCACATGTGCACACATGCACACACACACACACACACATATACACACACACACACACAAACACACACACCCTATTGCTTCTAGGAAGCAGCATATGCCAGAAAAGTAAAACCACCACCACAACAACCTTGACTACCTTTGGACCGCAGTAGAGGTCTCAGGATCTTTTGGAATAGTAATGCTTCTAGCCCACTGTCCCCAGTCATCTTCTTGGGAAGCAATACCTTTGGAGATATAGTCTTACAACTTCCTGCAGATGCTAAAACCGTATCTATTGAAGACCCAGAAAAGAAAATTCTTGCCACTAAAGTCTGTGGCACTGTCAAGTTGCTCAACATGGGAAACTGATACGATTTTATGAGAAGTTACATTAAAGAAGAGGCACTAGCCTCTGTTTCACTATTGCACCTTAAGGAAATGGGACTTTCCCATTTAACTTGCAGCTAAAATCTTGTGTGTTATCACCCATATTAGAATATTAACTCCTTGAGAGCATGGACTGTTTCAGTTTTCCAAGTGCATCTCCAAGGCAAAGACCTGTGTTTAAATCCAGGTTCAACCTCTTACTGCTATGTGACTCTGTGCAAATCATTTAACTTCTGTCTGCTTCCTCAAATGCAAAATGGAAACAATAATAATATATACCTCTCCAGGTTGTATGAATTAAATAATATTTGTAAAAGGCTTAGCATGGTGTCTGGCATGTACTAGGTGCTTAATAAATGCTTATTTCCTTCCTTTCTTTTTGCTCTAAGACCTATTTGTCTAATGTGTTCCTGAATTGTATAGCTTTCCTCCCCCTTTCTTCTACTTCTTATTTTCCAAAAAGCACTAAAATTTCTACTTCAATTGTTCACATGACAGTGGTAGCAGATGCTCTAATGGGTGGAGAAGGGAAGGGGACAAGAAGAACCAGGGTCTGCATTGGCTATTTGTATGGATGGATCAGATACTATCTAAATCTAAACAATAAAAGGCTTATCACTAATTGTAGGAAATACAGATTTACTAGAAATGTAGGATTAGAAAAATCATTAAAATATTCAAAGAATTGGAAAATAGAATTATGAGACAGTCTTGGAAGATAGATCATAATGCATCAATCTCAGGATTACTAATATTCTAGAAAATTAATGAAAAAAGGAATCTGAACATTATACCTCAAGAAATTATCAAAGAATACTTCATAGAGTTTAAATAAGCAATAGAACACAAATAGATTATTCCTTGGTTACTTCAATTTTTATAATTAGCAATTGGGAAAAAATACACATCAACTGCCTGAAGACTGAAATTACTTATTAGGTGGTTACTCAGGGTCATGGTAGATTTCTCAAGGAAAATAAAGGGATGAGCTATGAATACAAAATTTTCTACCCAGAAAACTTCAGTTTTCCTAAAGAATAAAAAGTGTATATATATACAAAATGATCAGAATTGCTTAAATTTCCCTCATGTGACCAAAAGCAGCTATTGATCACTGCAATAGCCTGCTGATGAATCTGCCTGCCTTAAGTCTTTCCTTATTATTTATTCTCCATTTAGCCACTAAAGTGATTTTCCTAGAACACAGGTCTGATCATGTCAAACCCTCCCACCCCACCTTCCTCAATAAACTCCAGTGCTTCTACCTATTACCTCCAGAACTAAATACAAAATGCTCTGTTTGGCGTTCATAGCCTAGACCTCTCCTACCTTTCCAGACTTCTTACACTTTATTCCCCAACTCCTCTTTGATCAAATGACACTGGCCTCCTATGTGTTCCACAAAAACACTCCATCTCTGTGTTCTAGGCATTTTCTCTGGCTGTCAACCATGCTTGGAATGCTACTCTACTTCCCCCCTGACTACTGACTTCCCTGGCTCCCTTTAAGTTTCAACTAAAATTCCACCTGCTGGCCCATTTCCAGTCATTCTGATCCATATCTGGCCCCTGGACACAGACAGCTCTGGAGGAGAAAGTGAGGCTGGTGACTTTGCACAGCCCTCCTCACTCAAATCAAAGTCAACTGCAAGTCATGTCATCCTCTCCCTGATGTCATAGTCCTCTTTGAGAACAGAGGACAAACCACAAAAAATCTAAACAAAAGTGATAGCTGCCTATGTAAAGCTTGATAATATTTTCTTTTTAGAGTTTCCTTCGGTAGTTATCATAATTAGATTTCAGTGTGATTTTTCTCTGAACCCCACACCCCTAAAAGGATGATCTTAGAGATTAAGTAGATATATCTCTGCTTCAGATCAGATGACTAAAAATAGTGCAACTTATAAGTCCAGTCTACCAATCTTTAACCCAGTAATGTGGTTATAAAAAAGAACATAAAATATTGAATGTATTATCACTTACGGTTGAAAATGACAAAGTTTATATTTCTTTTAAAATATTCTATTTTCATTGCTCTTTGATTATAAAAGTTCTACCTTACTTTATTCCTGAATTTGGTAGCAAAGCTTTATACCTTTTACACATGCACATGTACACACACATAGAAATGTATTATGCACATACATATCAGATGTATTATGCATATCTGTATGTGCATAAAGAAACATATATTTATATTTTAAGCTCCCATTTTCATTGGAATAAGTGTACCTCTATCAAATATTATTTCTACAAACTACTTCATTACCTGTATATTTGTGAATTTGTATTAATATAGTTCTCAGCAACTTGGTTATTCAACTCAGCTGAATGGGAACTCCCTACAAAAAAAAAAAAGATTATATTAGTTTTAATTTCCTAACTGCTTTTTTTCTAATTTATCACTAAATCTAATCAAGTGACAGAAAGTTATGATTAAAAACAGATACATGAAATATATGTCTATAACCTCCAATGAAAGGATAGTATAGAGTTCTTCCAACAAACACACATATACACACACATATTCACGATTCCTACTGAATTATAAGTACTATATTTTCAGTGTGACTGTATTTCATAAAAAAATGCATAAGTAAGTACAGGGCTATAAAAATGATATTATTTACATCTTTAAACTATCAGTATTACTCTCCCTTTAAACCTGCAATGATATAGAAAATGCAACCCTCCGCGAGGGAATGAAAGAGAAGGATGGGGTATAATATACATGTCGGGTAAATCTTTAGGTACATTGATCAGCTATATGGCATACAGAAACCATCTGCGGGGCTCTTTAAAAAACATGCCACAGATTACTCCCAAAGAGAGCACCTGTTTAGCTAATTTTCCACTTGCTAGAAATAAATTGAGACAAGAAGTTCTCCCAAGAAAGCAACGTTTCTAGCACAAAAGGGAAAATCAAACAATAGGAAATATAAACCACTGGTTTATATTCTTTGACATATTAAGAGCGGATTACAAATACTTATTGCAGAGATAGGTAGCTCTAGAAAACTCCAAAACATATAGCACTATTGTTGCAAGGCTCTCCAAGCCCTAAGAGGTATGGTGTCCCTATGCATCAGGGCACACCAGTATTGATGAAAACAGGTGATAGTTAAAACCATTGACAACTGCAAACATGAGAGGAAGCCTGGGTATCATAAGCATGGCATATCTCAGTAAGGTATTCAGTACAATTGTTTTAGTCATTCCAGTCCCTTTTGTGGATGACAAGTACACTGATGATCCTGCTATTCTTAGAAGTTTTTCTTAATGGCCTATAGATTTGGCTATAGGATGGCTTTTACTAGGCAGGAAACCACAGCAAAGAGGCCAAATATTTCATAATCAACAATGTACAAGGGAACTAAAAACTTGCAATTCTAATATTAAATTTTTATTTATTTAATATTTAATCTACTTAATAAATTCAAATAGTAAAAATCCCCTAGACCCATGGACCTGGATCATTCATAAGCCTCAATTAAATGGAATGACAGTATATCATTATTTAAACAAAATGGTAAAGCTGAGAGGACACCAAAAGATCATCTCATCCAAATGTTTCATGTAATAGATGAAGAAACCAGGCTACAAAGGGGTTTAGTGATCCATTCACACAATAAGCTTGTGGCATAGCCAGGACTATAGCTCAACCCATTATTCTTTAGGTCTTGTCTCAGTAAATTTGGTGGAACATTTAGGATCATCTGTTTGACTTATGTATTAATAACAAAATAAAACAGAAGTACCACATTTAAATTGTCATAATGTGAACTCAAGAAGTATAGGACTTACCAAATCTATACTGCACATTAATTGGTCTACCATACAAACGAATTCCATTTAACAAAGCTATAGCATAGGATACTGATTCTTGATGTTTAAAACAGACAAATCCAAAAGGTCTGGGTCTTCCTTCTTTGTCCTTACATATGGTCACTCTGGTTAATGGTCCAGCCTGCAAGGAACTTAAACGTTATTTTGTCAAAAATCTCAAAAGTTGTTCTTTACTCATCTGCCAGCTTGGTAATTATAAATCATGATCTCAGAGATAACTAATAATAGATACATATAAATTCATATATCTAAATATTCTTGATATCCTGTGTTTTAGTAATGTATTACACTAATGCAAACTTGTCTTGTGGTTTTCTGGGGAAACAAGGAATCATTTACAGGATTTAACATAATATACCACTATTATTTTACTGAGGCATCTCATAACACGTACTCTTAAATACTAATAAGAAAGGCATCTCATATTTGAAACCATTTAGAGAATTTCTGCCTTTAAAAAGTATATTTATTTGTATAAATATTAACACATAATCTTTGTTATGTAATATAATGAGTACTTTAGAAGAACATCAACAACAGTGAATGGTTTAATTCATAATAGTTTAAATATGTCTCATATTTTAAATGGCAAACTCTTTTTAAATAACATTATTACATGTTCCAGATGGAAATCTAAAATACATGGTCAATGGTTATAACTTTAAAACCAGATCAGTTTCTAAACATTACATTTAACACTTTTACATCAGAGGTGTCAAACTCACAGCAGAATAATGCCTGAACCAGATTAAAATGTAATTGGGAAATGTTTAACAACATAAATAAAAATGCAGTACAACAAAAGGTTAATTTTGGCTTTAGATGACATAGCACTCTTACCAAAATTGGAAAAGAAGTGAATAGAACAAGTGACAAATATCAATTTATTTCCCCCCTTATATACACTGCCAACATTCAATGAAAAAAAAAAAGCTTCAGGTCTCAGAGAACCACATTTACATAAAAGGGACTTTGAATTTGGAAGTGTAAAATAATTTGAGAAAACCTTAACTATAGAATTTCACATTTGCAAGAAATTGGGTAGTACTATCTTCATATCAACAAGAGTCCCCTCTAACATATATGAAACATGTTCACTCGGTTTTTGCTTGAAAGCCTGTTGTGAAAGGGAAGCCAATACCTACTGAGGCATTTCAATTTCTTCTGCATAGCTCTAATTGTTCAGAAATTTTTCTTTACCTCAACTCTACTACCATCCCTACATCAATTTATGGATTTGCAACTTTGACAGATTTCTCCTTGTTATGTCATCTGTAGCAAAGTAAAATTAGTGCTTTTCCTTCTTCCACTTGAGATTTTTTCAAATACTTGAACAAAGTTATTGAGTGACCTCCAAGTCTTCACTTTTCCAGGCTACATATAACCAGTTCCTTCAACTGATCTTCAAGTGTTTGACCCTGAGCACTTTCATCCTTGCTTTGTCAAACAAGTTGTTCAAATTTCTGTAAAACTGTTATCTACATCATTCCAACAATATGGTTCATCAATCAATCAATAAACATTTATTGATATTTATTACCCTTGGCCTAATTAGTGCCAGACACTGTGCTAAGCACTAGGAATACAAAAAGATAAAAAAGACATTCCTTGCCCTCAAGGAGCTTATAATTTAAAGGAGAAAACAAAATACAGACAAATGTAAACAAAGCAAGTATATATAGTGTAAATAGGAAATCATTGAAAGAGGGAAGGCACTAAAATTAAGGGAGGTTGGAGAAGGCTTCCTATCATTGGTGGGATATTAGTTGGGATAATAAACATTGTCAACAATGTGCTAGTCACTGTGGATGCAAATACAAGAGAGCTAGAGATACACATATAAAAGCAAAACAATCCCAGAACTCAAGGTGTTTATATTTTACTGGAGGAGCTGACATTTCCAAGTTGATGTCCCATAGACATCTTAAAATATCCAAATCAAATTCATCTGTCTCGTCCATCTGTTCCAATACTTCTAATATTCTCTACTTCTATGAAAGGACTGTAGTCACCCAGGTTCACAACCTCAGAGTTATTCACCATTCATTCTATTCCATTCTCTAGATCCAGTCAGTTGGCAAATCTTGTCCTTTCTACCCACACATTTCACATATATTCTCTCTATTCATGCAGCTATCATCTTCATTCAGGCAGATTATAGCAATAGACTCCTATTAGGTCTCTGTGCTTCAAATCCCTTTAATCTATCCTCCAAGGAACTATGAAAATAATTTTTCAAAAGGATAAATAGACTATATTACTCCCTTATCCAAAAAGTTAAAGTATAGTGTGTCTGTGTGTGTGTGTGTGTGTGTGTGCGTGTGTGTGTGTGTGTGTAGTCTATAAGGTAATATACAAATTCCTTTGTTTAGCATTTAAGATCCTGAATAATCTGGCTCTAGACTGTCAGAGTACAGATTCTTCACTATTCTAGCCAAACTAACCTATTTTCACATTCCCTATACATGAAATTCCATTTCTTACCTCCACACTTTTGCAAAGACCTCTAAACCTTTTTGAATGCTTAGCTTTCTTAAATGCTCAGTTTACATACACCAATTTTTGTATGAGACCTTTCCTTTTTTTTTTTTACTTCACCCCTAAAATTACATTGTACATATATCTGTTATTATCCTTATACCTATTGGTTGATCAGAATAGAATATTAGTTCTTCAAGACTATTTTTCATTGTTGACAATTCACTCCTATCACTTAGTCAGTGTCTGGCACAAAATGGATATTAAAAAAAAATTTCCTTTTGTTTCTTTATCTGTGTGTCAGGCTTTGAAAGAGGCACATTGAAGTCTTTCAGCATTATCTTTACAATTCAGCTCCTTTCTTTATGAATATAGATACTATGATATATATGATAATGGCGTATATTTTTAATATTGATGTTGGTTTACTATCTATAGTTCTTTAAGGTATAATAGTTTTCCTTTTTATTTGTTATTGTAAAAAAAAGTTATTCTTTTACTGTTAGCATTATAAAAACACTTTAAAAAATTTACCTGAAACATGGTTAATTTTTTCCACTCTTGTTTTCATTTTTTATGCATCATATCATTTTAGGTGCACTTTTATATACAACAGATTAGTTTTCATTCCTTATCCATTGTTATTTTTCTCTGTTAATAAGTTGTTTAATAAGTTCACACGTAAAGTTATCATTATTGGCCTCCTGCTTTCCTCCATTTATTTTTTATATTGCTTTTTTGTTCCTTTTCATATTAAATCTTTCAGATGCCACTCTCTTCTCATAGGCTCTCAACCTTTTCTTTGCTTCATTTTGCTTACCCAAAATCACATTGTTTCATTTAATTTTTCATTTTTAGTGATCTATTTCTCTCCCTCTCTTATATCTTCTCTTTTTCTCCTCAATTAAGAAATTAATGGGAAATCATTTTTTCTTCCCATTTCTTTTTTTAATAATTTCATTTTACTGAACCTTATCTAATAAATTTTTGCTTTCTTTTAATAATTTCTCAGTCTGTAATTATTTCTAGTCTGTTTTAAATTTTATTTGATTTGTGAGTTATATCCTTATCTATTCTGTTTTCCTCAAAGGGTTGAAGCTTCTGAATTACCACATTGGAGCTCCCTCTTTTATTCAGAAAGTTTTTATTCCAACTCATTTGGTCGTGTCAAACTTCCTGACCCCTTTTGGGGTTTTCTTGGCAAAGATACTAAAGTAGTTGGCATTTCCTTCTCCAGATCATTTTACAGATGAGGAAACTGAAGCAAACAAGGTTAAGTGACTTGCCCAGGGTCACACAGTTAGTAACTATCTGAAATTAGATTTGAGAAAGATGAGTCTTCCTGACCATAGGCCCTGTACTATTTACTGTGGCATTTAGCTATTCAATTTCTATATTATTGCATATGTAAAACTTTTTTCTTTTTTTAATGTTGTGACTCTGACTACAGAAGGTGATGGAAATTATCCTTATCCCAAATTGTGGGGCCCAGCCAATCTCTCTCTGCCCATGATCAACTTACTTCAGAGGTCAAATCATCTTGTCACTGGCTCTACCTCCCTCTCTTTTTTGCTCTTTCCAGCTTCTCCCTAATACTCTGAAAGGTATAGTCAAATACATTACTATGGCTTCCCAAAAGGGCATGTAATTGAACTGCTCTATTATTCCATTCACTCTTCCTGCAACTACACAGAACAAAACATTCTCCAAGGTTACCACTCTTAAATTTATGTTTTCTCCCCCTTAAAAATATAAGACTATTTGGGGTAAAGACTGTCTTGCTTTTGTATTCATAGCCCTGCAACTTAACACAGTGCCTGCCACATAGTGAGTGCTTAATAAATGCTTTTTCGTCCATTCAGCTCATCATTCTCTCAGAGAAGGTGACCTCCCAGTGCATAAACTACCCCCATATTAAAACCACCTGTCTATCTCTATAGACACCTCTAGGTATATGAGAACTTCTACAGCTGCAGCTCCCTGCCCGAAGATCAGACCCCGGTCCCAGTCCACACACCCTCCCTCAACTGCCACCCCCTATCTATTCCTTGCCATGAAAGTATAAGAAGTCATTCTTTGGCCTTGGATTTAGCAGGAATGTATCAACCATTCTCCTCTCTTCCCTCCTGACCTCTCCCCTTTTATTTAACATTCCACCATGGTGATTCCCTTTCACAAAAGACACTGATGCACTTTTATGACTTCATGCTGCATCAGTTCAATTCTTCCACTTCACTTATGATTCTTTAAGTTGACCTTATGCTTAGGACCCTTAAGTCATTTTTATCCACTGACAGTTTCTTTTTATTCTTTCCTTTTATCCTATAGATCAATCTTTCTTTTTAATGAATAGCTTCTAAAAATAAATTTACCTTTTTGGAATTGTATTTGTTTATCTTTCTTGTACTTCTATTGTTTGAAGTGCTTACATCTCAAGAATTCAGCTTCGTGTCTTTTTTTTATTCAGAAATACATCATATACTTTTGTTTAAATACATCCTTTTTCATTGGCTATTAGGCTGAAATTTGTAGGGCATGACATTTTTGAGTTGCAGTTTGATCTTTAAACATACACACGTTTGATTTCTTCTAACTGTGGAATAAATTTGTTATTCAATTTTTATTTCCTTCACATTGAATGATCCATCTCCTTGCTGCTTGTAAAATATGTTATCATCAAAACTACTAAATTTAACTACTCTATATCTGAGAATTGGAAAGACTTTTTTTTCCCAGAGTAATATATGGATTCTCTCAAGGGACGCTTTGTTTTCTGTACACAGAAATTCTGTAGTTTTCTTTTGTGATTCCTTGCATTGCAGTATTCAAATTTTTTAAAAAATTGCTGAGTTGTAGGATCCTTATCTCTGTATACTCTATCCTGAAAGTTAGTTATTTTAGATTGCCTAGAGTTCACATGTTCTTTTAACATCATCTCTTTCCTTCCCTTGTGCCAAAATGTCCTGCGTTTTAGTATTTTGATATTATAAAACTTTGAATTTCTTTGTTACAACTGCACTTCCTTAGAGATTCATCATCATAGATTTATTTTTTCTATTTTTTGATCCTACATTGAGAACTCTTAATTTCTTGTCCAAATTCATTCCTAATTTCTACTTTTGTGAAATTTTATTTTTCTTTCAAACCACTTTGGAGTTTCTTCTTATGATCTCTAGAGTCCCCCAGTTTCCTGCCCTTTATCTGGAAATAATGATTCATTTTCCTTCATATTATTAAGAGACTTTAAGATTTTCTTTGATGTTTTACCAATTGTTCATCCTGTTTTCTAGAACCTTTCCTGCCTTTTCTGCTTGTGTGGTACACTCTTATTCAGGCTTTTTCTCTTGATAGAGTGGTGTTTTAGCCTATTTTCTGCATTCTCAGTCATTCACCCTCTGGACTCCTCGCTTTGACCATGAAGCAAGCCCTTGAAATCAGGCTGCAGGACTGCCTCCAGCCTTGTCTCTAGGTTGCCTTCCAGACTTTCCTTACATATTACACATTATTTCCCTTCACATACTCAGTATTACAGGAAAACTGGCCTATTTGTTATTCCTCCCATAACATTCCACCTCCCATATCCACACTTTGTACAGACTGTCTTGGATGTATGCAATAGACTCCTACTTAACCACTGCCTCTCAGAAGGCCTAGTCTCCTTCAAAGCTCAGCTCCAACCTCCTATAGAAGGCCTTTTCTGTTCCCTCCAATCCATCATGATCCATCCCCGAAGTCCTTTATATTTCCTTTGTATATATTTTGTATTTCTAGATGTCCCTAGTAGAATGTAAGCTCCTTGAGGGAAAGGACTGTTTAGTTTTGTCTTTATGGCTCCTACATGTAGCTGAACATTAACTCCATGATAGTGAATTCTTTAAAACATGTTCCACCACTAATATCACTGAAATAATTTCTCTGAGATCCACTGGGACCTTTCTTTCTCATTTCTCCTTTCCTACCTTTCCATTCCCTAAGCTTCAAATATGCTTTGGTTATCCAAAAACAAAATTCCCCACAAAATCTCTCTCTTGACACTGCCATACCTTAAATCTTAATGCTATCATTCCCTCTCTTCCTCTTTATTGTAAAAGTTCTACTACCCAAATATCTTATACTTACTGCCTCCACTTCATCATCCTCCAACTTACTCAACCCCATTGTACTCTTTTTTGCTTTTACTACTCTCCTGAACTTGCTTTGCTCTTTCAAAGGTCATTAATTATTTCCTTGTTGCCAAATCCACTGGCTTTTCCCAAAAGAAGGTAGGGGGTGACATCTTTAGATATGATGAAAAAGTTCATAATCTGAAACTGAAAGAGAGGAAAGACAAAGTAAAGAAAGTTAGGAAGTGATTTTAAATGAAAATGTTAGTTCAAAATCAATTTTTCTTCGGGTTTCTTGATTATCATACAGCCCAAATTCTTCATCATTTCCCTTAATGTTTGCATAGCAAGTGTCTATGCAATAAACTGCCAATATAAGGCTGTCTGTGAAAAAATAAAGGTCTGCTCCAATTTTATTTAAATAACTTTATAGTGTCAACATCCTCTGAAAGACTGACTGGCTTTAGAGCTGGAAGATAGCATGGAGTTCATCCAGTCTCACTATTTTGTTTAATAATTTAAAAAAACTGAATTACAGACTATTTGAAATAAATTATCTCCTGTCCAACACTATTGTCATGGCCTTTTTTGCAAATTATTTCTTTGGGTATATTTATATTGGCACTCTTCATTTTCACTGTGCATTGATATGCTCAATTTGGCTTGCTAGTAATATGTTAAATTAAAAAGGTTTTCTGTTGTTCAAACCCACAGCAGGAGTCTTAAGAAAAAAAAAAACCTAGTAAGCTGAAGACTAATTGATATTCCCATCAATGCTTGCCTAGACTGGCTCATGTCATCAAGACCTCCTGTTTTCATACACTTAAAAAAAGATAAAGATGATGATGAAATTTTAGTTCCTTCTTTTGGAGGTAAGACAAATCATTGAATTTGGAGCTCAAGACCTTGGCTGGCGTCTCAACTCTGAGACATCCCCCTCTCTCAGCATTCATTTCCTCATCTCTGGAATTGGATTAGCTTTGAATCTATGATCCAATGATTATATGAGTGGTCTTTTTTGGTTTTGTGTGTGTGTGTGTGCTGGGTTTTTGTTGTTGTTGTTGTTGTTGTTTTAAATTTGTTTTTCTTTTTGGTTTTTTGTTTGTTTGTTTGTTTTTTGTGCTAAAAGAAAAAAACTTGACTTAATTTAGCCCGGAGAAGAACATGATACAGGTTTATAGATTTAGAACTGGAAGGGAACTCAGAAGTCATTAACTTCAATATCCTAATCTTATACAAGACGAAACCAAGGCCCCAAAATATTAAATGACTCACCATAAGTCACACAGGAAGTAAAAGGCAGAAGTAGCATTAAAACTCATATCCTCTGATTCCAACATGATACAATTGAAAGAGCTAGCTTCAAATCCTGCCTCTGACGCTTACTACCAACGTGACCTTGAGAAAAATCACTTTACTGGGCCTCAGTTTCCTCATTTGTAAAGTGAGGATGTTTCATTAGGTGATCTTTACAGTCTCTTCCAGTTCTACATGATCCCTTTACTTTTGAGATGCCTATGAACCTGCCTTACACTCAAGTTCAACCCTTTACACCTGGCCCTAAATTCCTGAGGCTAGGGCTATAGAGATTGCACTTTGAAAATAGAAGCGGGAGGAATAGGAAGTCAGCAAAACAGAGGAAGCGGTATTTTATCCTCTGGGCTGGGAAAGCCCAGGCCAGCTGGGCCAGGCCCGCAGGCCTTGTCCGCACCTTCTCCGGAAACGCCTAGGGGAAAAAAGGCTTGTTACCTGCAGGAACAGCTCATAGAGGATCTCCTCTCGCACCCTAGTCTCTAAATTCCCCACGAATACCGTCCGGTCCGCAGCCTTCTCACGGGTGTCCGACATTGCTCACTGACCCGCAGCTCCTTTCGCTTCGCCGCCTGCGCTTCAAGCCACCGCACAAGGTGCCGGCAAAGCCTCCGCCTCCTCTAACCCGTCACCATAGCGATGGGGCCGCGCCTCCCAGGGACTGGCCAGGGCTCCCACCAATCCGCTTCCCCTCCCGGCTTTAGCGCTCCAGCAGGCTGGAAGCTAAAGGATGCTGAGCCAGGGTGATAGAGATGAAAGGGTAAAATGGAAGGACACCTGGTTCTGTTTCATTATTTTATGTACCCACTGTATTTATAATACACTATTGGATACTTATTTAGGATAGAAGCTGCAAGATTTCAAACAGTAGATTCAGAAAAAGCTAGATATCAGGGTAGAGGCTTATTTGCAGTAGAATAAAGATGGGACTCCAAGCGAGCACCTAAATATTTAAAAATCAACTTCATTATTAGTGCGTTGTATTACGGACTAACTAACTCATAGGACTGTTGTGAGGATGACATGAAAAGATACTTTTTGTAATGGGAAACAGCTATAACTGGGGCGGCTAGGTAGTGCAGTGGGTAGAGCATCAGCCCTGGAGTCAGGAACACCTGAGTTCAAATGTGACCTTTGACCAGACACTTGACACTTACCAGCTGTGTGACCCAAACCTCACAGTTTGGATTTTTTATTATGATTAATAATTTTATTAAGAGGATTTGTTCTGTGAAGTTTGGATTCAGTCAAAGGGCTGCACTTGAGGAGCTAGAGGGGGGTCACATGTAACCTCGAGGCTGCAGGTTTCCAACTACTGAACTAGGTTCTTCTGGTTAAAAAAAAAGAGAGAGAAAAGAGAAAAAAGGGGGAAAAGCAGGAGCTGGCTATACAAATATGATGCAGTCATAAGCAGCATCATATATAACCAGATTCCTGCTCTAGCTAATATGATTCCTGAATGTCAATCTTCAAATTATTTGATTCCCAGATGATAAAAGGGGATTCCTTCACTTTTTAGTAACTGAAGCATCTTAGTGTGCTTGGCATCCTCTGGAGATACCAATTATTATAGATCCTCAAGAAGGAAAGCATCAGGAAAAAAAAATCTGTTGTCAAAGTACTGCATACAATCTTTGTACATCTGTAATATTTTAAAATAATACTTTTGAAAGAAACATTAGAAAATAGATAAACATTTTTTAGGATGGTGGAGGGTCTGGACCAAGGATTTAATCAATCAGAGGTGCTCCAAGTATGGAAACTTCATCCAATGGTGTGTATTTGCAATCCTTCTCTAAAATACAGACTTACCTGGGAAACTGAGAGATAAAACTAGCCCATAATCACACAGCTTGTATGTGTTGAATAAAATGCTCCACTTCTTCTAAACCTATTCTTTGTGCTCTAAGTGACTATGCCTTGTACACTTTGTGTTGAATAGCTTTATACTCCATGCTTTTTCTTTTTAGAGATACTAGATTGAATCAAAGCTGAGCTTTAAGTAATCTTTCCTATGGGTCCTGGGTATGGCTGAACAGCGCTTAAAAAGAACCAGGATGTTCAAGAAACAGCCTAACTCCTTTCTCTAGATGCTAGATTCTCTAGAATTGAGCCCAGGCAATGTGCCTGTGCTTGAGTCCAGAGCTAAGAGAGTCCCCTTCATAAAGGGAAAAAGGATGAGTGCCTCAGCTCCCCAGGTCCAGAAACAATTGTTGTTATACATATTAGATAATTTAAATTAAGCCCTCACTCAGGTAAGGCATTCCTTTTACTTTTTTGCAATTGCCTTTCTATAGTATTCAGCATAGCAGCAGGGAAAACAACAGAAAGAAATTATATTATCAAAGTACCTCACACACCTTTGTACTTTTACGACATTTAAATATTTGTTACAAGGGATGGCTCACTGGATGGGGAAGGTGGAAAAGGATATATTCAAAAATGAAATTTATATTCTTCTTATGCTCTTCTTTTCTTTCCTCAAACTTCAGACACAATTCCTAACCCTCTCCTACACATATCTCAGCAGAAGTCCTCTCCTCATACAAAACTGAGAAATACAGGTTTAAGACCGCCCAAGATAGAAGATCAGAGGAAATAGTGCAGGCCAACACACTTTCACAACTACTCTCTAAAGACAAGGAAAACACACCAAACACAATCTTGATAGGGAATCCAAGGAAAAATCAGTGAGTCATCTTTTCAGCCTTGGTCAGCTTAGAGAGATGGAGAGAGAGACATCTATAGACACGAAAGATGGGGTCCTCCTGTCAGAGTACTCCATGGAGCTTGCCAGTTCAAAAATTGAACTGGAGCTCAGGACTGTGTACTAAGACAAGAAAGGTTGTGAGATATAGCACAGAGGTTCCTAAAGCTGGGTAAAGAACAGGACCAGGTGCCAACTGGAAGCTCTGACTCATACCCCAGAGTTGGGTCACAAATCAAGTGACCACTGAGGTCTAGACCTGTTCCTGTATATTGTGCAAAGGGTAAGAACAAAACTGACATTCAGCCCTGTGCTCGATCTGAAGCCTACTATGGAATAACCAGGGCAGGGAGCTCAGACCAAGGGAAAGCCTGTTGTGAACTTGCACCTTTCAGCTGGTTGTTTGTTGGTAGACAGGTCCACTAGCAGTCAGCTAGAACGTTAAACAGGGCCAAACACACAGTTGTGTTCCACAAACCCAAATTGATGTCAGCATCTTGCAAAGATCAGGCCAGGGCAGTAATCAGACCACTTTGGATCTACTGAAAGTTTTTAGATTACTAGCCTGAGCTTCCCCTGAAATCCTTGAAGAAGACAAGATTAAATACTCAGAGAAAACAGCAGCAGAACCCATTGCAAAATATTAATAGATACAGAAAAAGGGTTTCACAGCATACAAGACCCTTTCCTGTTAAAAACAAAACAAAACTAGAAAACTTAGGGATAAATGAATCTTTCCTTGAGATAAGTAGACTCTATCTAAAATCAAGTACCAGAATTATATGTAATGAAGATAGTCTAGAGTCCTTTTCAGTAAGATTAAGAGTAAAGCAAGCATGTCTAAAGAAATGGCAAATATCTGAACAAGACAAGAAAAAGAAATTGAGAGCATAAGTAAAGGCAAAGAGAAAATACAATCAATACTTGTTGCAGATGACATGATGTTTTGCTTAGAAAACACTACAAGTTAATTGAAACAATAACTTCAGCAATGTTGTAGCATATAAAATAAACCCACATAAATAATTAGCTTTTCTGTATATTACCAACAAAACTCAGCATTAAGATAAAAGTATTTCATTAAAATAACTTCAGAATGTGTAAAATACATGGGAGTCAACACCTGACAGGATATATAGAAACTCTATGAATATAAATATAAAACACTCTTTACACAAATAAGGATAGATCTAAATCATCAGAAGAATATTCATCGCTCACAGGTAGACTGAGCCCATCAAAATTAGTTTACTTTCCAATTCCATAACAAACTACTAAAACATTCTTTTATAGACCTAGAAAAAATAATAGCAAAATTAATCCAAAGGAAAATAATCTCAAGGGAAATGATGGAAAAAAATAGTGGAAGAAAGATGGCCTATCAGTCTGAGACCTAAAACTATACTTTGTTATTATCTAACCATCTGAGTCATGTCTGACTCTTTGCGACACCAGTTGGAGTTTTCTTGGCAAAGATACCAAAGTAGTTTGCCATTTACTTTTTCTAGCTCATTTTACAGATAAGGAAACTAAGGCAAACAGGTCAAGTGATTTGCCCAGGGTTAAACAGCCAGTAAATGCCTGAGAGCGGATTTGAACTCAGGTCTTCCTGACTCCAGGGCTGACACTCTATCCATTGTGCCACCTAGCTGCACCTTGCCTTCACATTCTTTGACACTGATTAACAAATAGGCCAATGAGTAAAACAGATGAAGTACAAGGTATATCAAAGTAGATAAGTGCAGTAGCCCAATGTTTGATAAATCTAAATAGCACAGCTACTCACGAGAGAGAGAGAGAGAGAGAGAGAGAGAGAGAGAGAGAGAGAGAGAGAGAGAGAGAGAGAGAGAGAAACCTACTTTGAAAAACTTGGTGTGAACCAATATTTTACACTATGTAGCAAGATAAGCTCCACGATTCAGACACAAAGGGTGGTGTCATAAATAAGTTAGAGGAGCAAAGAGCAAAGAAGAAAGTACATTTTAAATATGTGGATAGGGAAAGAATTAACAATGAGACAAGCAATAGAGAAAATCACAGAATATAAAATGGATAATTTTAGTTATATAAAATTTAAAAGTTTTTGTACAAACAAAACTTATACAGCTAAAATTAAAAGAGTAGCAAGCCAAATCAACAAGAATTTATTAAATACTATGTGGCAGGTATTACACTAAATGCCAGGGATATAAAGAAGGGTAAAAACAGTGCTTGCCCTGAAAGAATGCATAATGCAAAGAGGAGACAACATATAGACAACTACATGCAAACATGATACATGCAAGATAAATTGGAATTAACTGCAGAAGCAATAAGAAACCCCAGGAAGGGGTTCTTATAAAAGGTCAGAATTCAGCTGAAGAAGGAAAACAGGGAAGCCAGGAGGCAGAGATGCAGGAGGAGGAGCATTCCAGGTATAGAGAACACCACTAAAAATGCCAATGGTGGGAGATGGAGTGTATTGTACAAGGAATAGCAAGGAGGTCGTTGTCACTGTATCTCAGAGAGTACATGTAAGGAAATAAGTATAAGAACAGAAAAGTAGGAAGGAACTAGGTTATCAAGGGTTTTAAAAGCCAAAAAGAGAATTTTATATTTAATTAGACTCTCTATTACCTCCAGGAGGTAAGCAATTCAGGAAAAAAAATATATTTTAATATGAGGGCTGATAAAGGCCTCATTTCCAAGATATATAGAAAATTGCTTCAAATTTATAAGAATAAGCCATTTTCCCAATTGATAAATGTTCAAAGTATGTAAACAAGAAGTTTTCAGAGGAAGACACTCAAACTATTATTAGTCTTAGGAAAAAA